CTATTTTTCAATGGTTTACAGTTGACCAATTTCCCTGTCAGGTCTGCGGAGGACCAAGAACTGCAGAAGGGATGGGTTCCTCTGCCTACCAGCCAGCGACGTTTAGATGTCGACGCCACACGAGGCTTCCTGTGAGTCTCGGCTGTCCTCGTTGCACTGCGCTGAGATTAAATGGTCTCACCGGGCGGTTAGTCCCTCCCACGGCTTCATGAGCGCAGGCTGCCTCGCTACCTGTCAGGCATCTGTCACAGCGAATACTTCTTTGTGATCGTGACTAATTCCAACCATCACCCTTTAGATTAATTTCCAGCTTCAGCATCAGCTGAAAATGAGTTAGTCTGAGAGGCAGCCAGCGGGTTCCAGGTTCAAAATACTTCCTGTAAACGTCCCCTCTATCCATCACTTTTTTAATGATGCTCACCTCCAATGATGGCTCATCAAATTCTTACAAGGACAAGGGCTTTAGTGTCACCAGGTAACAAGTTATCCGATAGAGATCCTTGTCAACTAAATTGAAATATTTTTGTATAACTACTGTTCACGAATCAATGCCAGTACTTAGTTTTGTAATCGAGAAAAAATTGCATGGTTTACTTAGTTCTAATTTCCCAGTGTCTCTGCTCAGTGATATACTTATTAGGCTCTCAATCTGATTCCTTCAGGCTCCGTTAATAATGCAAATCAGAACTGAAGAGGACAGAATGTCAGTTGGTAATATTCATGATCTTTGGTTGGAGCTTCATTTCTCCGCTGTAATATATTATTTATGTGCAACTGTTTTAACAAAATGGAGCTGGTGTATTTACTCATAAAATTAAGATCAAAGACTAAGGGTCTTTCTCAATACCAAGAATGCATTGTTCTTGTGTTCTTGGCATAACCAGTGTTCCGTACTTGCCTCCCAAAAACAAACTTGTGGTGCAATGGTGGGATTGGTCTCATTTGGCGAGGATGCAATCGATGTATCTCTGAAATTTGGGGCAGGGCAAGAGTGACAGCTTGTGGGAGTTACTGTATACTTAAAAATGTTCTGAGGGCAGACCGAAAAATGATTCGTTCAGAGAGATAACCAATTATATTGCAGAGGAGGCAGGTCCAAGTAACTAGAGGAGGCGAGATCAAGACATCTGATTGGTTATCTCTCTGAATTTCATTCCGCCCTCAGAACATTGTTGTGCGAGTAAAACTCCCATGAACAAAGTGACATGCGGGGATTTTTACAATCCTGTTCTTGGAACTCTCCAGTATTGGAACTGGTCTTCTGAAGATAGATGATGACATAAAACGGGTACATGGGAACACAAGTAGAGTCAATATGCATTTTGAGAAACACTTTAACTCTGTCTCTGAGAATTTTTTTTTAATTCATCTAAAATCAGTATATTTGCATTTATTCCCCCCCCCCCACGTATAAAGCAGTCTGTAAATCACTAGGTGATTTTCAGGTGAGACCTCTCTGGCAACGAATAGTCTTCAAGTGGTCAGATTAGAGTTGGCCTCTTGGATGATGAACTGAACAGCATATAGGTCATGGAAAGTTGAATCATTGTGTGGAGGGATACTCCTCTCGCCTTGTCCTCACCCAGGAATAGACTTTTTGGCCTAGATTTTCCTCAGGGCATTGTGGGGAAGGACACACAGCATTCTCTGAGCAGTCATATAACTCGCAAGCAAAACATAATTAACATAGCATACCTGTTAGTGACTGTTTTATGTACTGGATGGCATTTTGTTTTCATAGCTTTGTGTTTCAGCGTTGTGTGATGCTGTTATGACATTTATTTCTGTTTCAGCAGCTTTTGCAGACAGAGGTTCTCATTGCTGCAGTGTGCGATAACTTGTGCAAACAGCTTGTATATGGTTTGGACTGGAGTCTGTTGAAGGGAATCTCACCTCAGGCTGTTGGTATCCCGCTGGGATATCATAATGCCGGGAAATAGAGGTGGAAATCGAATGGGACAGAGATGCTGATTCAAGACTGAATCAAGACCAGGGATGTGAATGCAGTTTTTCACGTGCAGGAAAGGTTTGAGGGGTCTAAACATTTCTTTCCTTAAACACGATTAAAATTTAACAGGCGAGTCATTGAATTAATGGTAAACCAAGAAAAATGGAAAGTCCTTTTTCTCATTGACTGCATAACCACGCATCTGCCAAATAATCGGGTACCCAAAAAGTCCAGCACAATGTCAGGATGTGACCTCTTCTGAGAAGCAGTGGTATAGAGAGGCCGGATGGAGGCCATCCTCCGCACCATGTCAGCGGTGACAAAGGGACACAGCGTGAACGTCTGTGGCTTTATTTAACAGATCACGCAGACGTCACGCTTACGCACTCAATGTCTCTCTTCTGCCCCTATCAACATCCATAATGCGCTTTAGTTTCTTAATATAATCATAACCATCATATACAAGTACTTGCATTGCAAAACATGCATCACTCTGATATCATTTATAATATGTACTGTAATACCTTGATTTCCTTTTTATAGACATGTCCTTCATATAATCTATAATATATATATATATATATATATATATATATATATAGCTGTAATCACATTATTGGCCTCCTATACTCCAGACATGCACTGTGACCTTGACCATAAGCAGTTACAAAATCGGTGATTGATTAATCAAATTATACTCATTTTTCACAATACATAATGTATTCTAATAATACTCAATTCAATTATACAGAACTATTGATCCTGCCTAATAACACCAGCAGACCTGCAGTATTGCTAGCTGAGGTTATAACCAAATGGATGACATACCAGATAACAGAACGCATGGGCGTCAGACATGCACACCGATTGTCGCTCTCCTGCTTCGTCTAGCATAAAATAGCGTTAAATAGTGTGCGCCATCGTAGCATTACTCATATGCAGCGAGTATTATCACGCTAACACAGTGATGACCAGGAGGTGCTGGCCTAGATTCCTACGCCGCAGTACATTAGCGTATCATAACGAGCTGTCATGATCATGAACATTTCAACCAATCGCATAACTCGTGACCTATCTAAGCATAGTATGCGCTGTAAAATTATTATGGATATACCACAAGACATTGTTAACATTATTCTGTAAAATTATGTATATTACAGTAGATTTATAGAAATGCAACACTGAAGTGGGGCTTGGCTTGGTGGGTTAGGTCACTGTGCTTGTGGTCAGAAGGTCACCGATTTGAATCCTGTGGTCAGCAGAGTGATGTCACCATTGGGCCCCTGAGAGAGGTCCTTACTCCCCCCCCCCACAATTGCTCCAGGGACTTTCTGGCCCCGATTTCTCAATTGCACATCACTCTGGATAAAAGAATTTGCTAAATAAATAAAATTATGATTGTACCAAATGTCATATTGCTAAGTTTTTGTTGCTCTTGTCATGACTTAGGAGTCGGTGCCCATGTCTGGAAGGTTGCTGGTTCAAATCCCGTGACCAGCAGAGTAATCTTACCACTGCTGGCCCTGGAGTGAGGCCCTGTACCCCCCCGGCTGATCGTGTGCTCTGACCCCTCACTCTACTCTCCCTGGTGCATGTCTGTGCGTCTCATAGGAGAGCAAGATGAGATATGCAAAGACAGAAGCTTCATTGTAGCTGCTATAACAGCATCAAAAGCATCTCATTTATTACATGTTTTACAGAATGAAAGTCAGTGAATACAGGGGCAGTTCTGCGGGGAGGGGGTGGGGTGGGCCCCAGTGACAACATGCATGCCCCCCCCCCAAATACATATGCTACTTGAGTCTAAAATAAACATTATTATTATTATTACTATCATTATTATTTGCATTGATATATGTGGGCTAACATTTTGTGCGCTGGGAACAGGCGAAACACAAACGTAAGCACATTTTCTTGACCGTCTATTAACACGGATGCGCTGGGGGGGTCGTGTCGCTTCAGCTGGAGAAAAGCGAAGTTAACGACAGAAAAAATAATCAATCTCGTGGAAGCAAGACGGTATAAAGGAGATATTAGAGTGAGTTACACATTTGTAAAAGCTGTAAAATGCGACTGTAAAGTATTGCATAAGTATCTTATTGGTTTTCAAAATCGTCTTTTGCTCCTTAATGCTGGTCATGTAGCTCATGTAAGAGTTGGAGGACATTAAGGTCAAATGCATCTGGCCCCCCTAACAGAACAACTGGCCACAGCCTGCCCCCCCCAGTTGAAATGGTCTACAACTTCCACTCAGTTAGTGTCTTAACAGGGCAGCTCAGGGGGTAGCACCGCTCCCATTGCCCGCTGCAGGGTTGGTGTTAGAATCCTTCCTCTGCTATTTATGTGAGTGTTGCGTGTTCCCCTTCAGTTGCATGGGTTATCTGCATGTACTCTGGTTTCCTCCCGTGATCCAAAGGCACGAAATGAAGTTAACTGGTGTTCATAAATTGCAAACGGTGCCATTATGTGTGTGTGTTCCCCGCGATCGCCATCCCATTCAGGGTGTAACCCTGCCTTGCACCCTACTGATGTCACAGATAAGTTTGCAGTCTTTTGTCATTCTAAAAACGCATTCAGTAATTATATAAATAAATTCCTAGCCCAATAGCTTATTCACATTCTGCTTGGCAGCCGAATAACGCTGGCTTGCTGCGTATTTTTACCTCTTTGGCACTGCTGAGTGATGTGTTTTGGGTCAATTTTCTATCACAATGAACTGTGAAAAGTCTTTAAAAACGGGGGAGAATCCAATTCATACTGCTAACCTGAATGGAAGAGCTGTAACTTCGACGCAGGTGGTAACACCCGCCAACTATATTAACTAACTCGGTGTATTTTGAACTTCGGTGACATAATTGTGCATAATTTGATGCATTACCCCGATTTATATGAATCGGCAGCGTCGACTCTTCCGATAGTTCCACGCTTATAAAACTAAGTCCCTGCTACCCCCTTGGTTTATTTGCTCTTTTTCGCCGCCAGATCCCCCGGCTACAGACGCTGGGTTAGGACTGGCGCTGCGTGTCACTTGTCTTCAACTTGCGTATGCATCCTCAAATTCGACTACAGGATCTTAAATACTTATGTTTTATTTCATTTTCATGCATTCAGATTTTTTTTCCCTTTATTACAGTTAACGGGACAGTTAACACGGATTAGTTTCCGATCGTACTGAGGGCGTACTGAAGGAGCAGCGCCTATACAATCCCAAGCTGCAGTGAGCCGGGCTAGAAAAGCGTGGAGCTTCAGACCTGCCTGGTGGTGTAACCCTTTCATCCACTTCCTATCTAATTGCGTTCAGATAACAGCGCGACTGACGCAGGCTGAATAAATCTGCCGAGCTTGGAAAAACTGGTAGGAAATTAACGAAAATGGCATTATCGGATGTTTTCTGTCACCTCTCGTGCTCTTTCATCAATAATTAACATATAAGCTTTTAGATGTCGAGACTAGACCGCAGATTTCTACCCTCACTCATGTACTGGTGAATCCTATAGGAGAAGCGCACCAGAAGCTTTGAAAAAGGGGGAACCGGTGAAAAAGACTTGGAACTTGGTACAGAGGGAATCGTTTTTACAAAACCTCGCAATGATGGTTCTCAAGAAAACCATATTCGCGTGTTTTATACTTCTGATGGCGGTGGACACCCTCGTGAAGCTCGCCGGGGCTCAGAATGACACAGAGCCCATTGTCCTGGAGGGTAAATGCCTGGTGGTGTGTGACTCTAATCCGGCTATGGACTCCAAGGGGTCGTCCTCTCCGCTCGGGATTTCGGTGCGCGCAGCCAACTCCAAGGTGGCTTTCTCCGCGGTCAGGAGCAACAATCACGAACCGTCGGAAATGAGCAATAAAACAAGAATTATTTACTTCGACCAGGTAAGGTTAAAGATGGCCCACTTAAAGCAAAACTGTTTTAAGATGGAGTAAGAAATAACACGCTAAACACTATAATTGTCACAATTTTAGGAACTGTCGAACAACCCCCGCAAAAGTTATTAATCTAAAATTGATCATTCATTTGGTCGCATGATTTTTCAATCGCATGATTGAAAAACACGAAGAAACAGAATTTTACGTTTTGCTTTGAAGACCCGAATTATTGAACCCGCGCACCTACTTAATAGAATATTAACGGTGCCTACTGAAATCAGTCAGCTTTTAAATGGTAGCATACTACTTCATGTGTGGCCCCCAGTCAAGAGAAAACTAACCATAAAGGACCAATGATTCATTAAAAATGTAATTCATCCCTGGAATGGGACGACTTCGAGATCCGTGATCGGTTGTGATTTTAACGTGATCTTTCACATGACAGTAAGCGAATGCGACCAGGAAGCATTTGTCTGCAGAACGCAGTGAAAAACCAAACAAATGAACTGACTTGTGCATTTATTATCTACTCAAAAGGATCCATCAGTGTTGTGTGCTTTTGCATAATTGATGCAGTCAGATGCAGTCAAAGCGCCAAAACTAATAAATCGGAATAAACTTGCAAAGTCTTTTGCTGGATCTTCTGAAATTTTCGGTTTATTTATGTGCGCTCCTCTCGGAGCCACGCCAACCTGTCATATATAATGATCGTCCATAAAGAGATACATTTAAGAGAGCAATAAAAAGTGACATTTAAACAGGGTGAAAATAACATCTGAAAAGCGTAGAAAAAGCGACATTTTGCTTAATATGTATGCAAGGCTCGGTCGGATTGTTTATAAACGCATAAACATTAAATATTTTGATTAAGCTGGTACTTTGAATGAAAACTTGTGAAATAGATTATGCTTCTCCCAGCCTGGGGGCTTTCTGCATTTTATGTATGGTTCACTGTCAGCATTTGCATCCACAATTATAGATTTAGAGGACTTTTTGCGGAACTGTAATGGAATCTCACCGAAATAAGCGTTATTGGACAGAAGGGCCGCCTGCACGCAATCGCGAACTGAATGCCACGGGGCAACTTAACATCCTTAATTTAATTTTAAACCACGAGTAGATGGGAACGGTGCAGGTAATATTTTTGTGGATGATATAAATTCACATTTATATGAATGACAAAATAAATGGTTCATCTCTCCAGTTACATGTGAAAGATTTTTTTACCCTGCGTAGAAAACGCAATTTCATAATGTGCAATAAGGTTTAGGAAACAATCGTAAAATTATTTACGAGTTACCTCTCGGCTAAAATGCAGTTAGCCCTGTTCCCTGATTTACCCTGCTACTTGCAGAATGTCAATCGACATTAGCGGACCTTCCAGAATCACCTCTTATACGGCATATTTAACATTAAAATATATACACCATTTCTTCATAATTTCTCTAGTTAGAATTCGATGAAGGAAAAGTGCAGTCTTGCCATACGCGCAAACACACAATTCGGTTAAAATTTCAGTATATCTAAAGTTAAGACGAAAAAAATAGCTTGGGATGATAATAGTATCCATATTTCATTTTGCAACTGTAGGTTAATTAATTAATTAACAGCAGCACCGCTAACATCCCAAGACATATAAATCAACACAGTGCATCATCCACAATCTGGTGGGTTCACAATGATGTTCCTAATATTATTTAATCTGGATATGGTTTAAGGTTTTGAATGTACTTATTATATTAAAATGTTATAAAGAGTAAATACACTTAAACTGCTCTACATTAAACCGCTGTTTCAGTATTACAGAAATACAGCGATAAAAAGGCTTTTAAAATGGTACCTCCCAGAAAATATGCATTTGTAGGAATTGGCATGATTTTTTTGCACTATAAAAGAGGATAGCTGTGTTGATTTATAAAGTATTTTATCCACCTAATGCTGAAAAGATTAATGCCTCTTAATGATTACTCATCACATGAATTTCAGTTCAGTATGTTGTTAGGTGCCAGATTTTCATCCGGTAAATTTTGAATTTGTTTACTGAAGAATGTTGGATTATTCACTGCTGAACTATCAATGAACTTATTCCTTTCTTAACAAAACAACAGTATAGATCTTTATAATTGCTTTGGTATTTGTCTGCATGGCTTTCCAAAGTTGGTGTGTTATGGATCTGAAAGGGTTAAATTTCCCTGAATAAAAAAGCACGTTTTGTATTTGACTGTGATTTGATTACAACAAAGGTGGAAATCTATCACAATCCTTATTGTTTTCTTGCTGCCCCGTGGGGTTTCACACATAGTTCAGGAAGAAAAAGGAACTGCCATTGATGAATGAAGGTTATAAAACTTAAACAAAGGACTTAATTTAAATAAGTTAAATCTTGATTTTGTTTCTTGTATATTTTAATCCTGCATATCTGTTATGACAGAAAAAATAATATTGAGTCTTGATAATCATTATACTGAGGAAAACCGGTGCTAAATCATATATATTTTTAGAACAATACAATAATTTCCTGTAATGTAGCATGTAAATGATGTGTGTTTAGGGGCCTGTGCTACATGGAAACAGCTCTAGATTACTAGAGCCCTACAAAATCGTTAAATGGTTATTTTATTTTGGTCATCTCAAAAAATACACTTGGGGAAAAATATGCTTGGGGAAAAAGCTAGCAATATAGACAAAAAATAAATTCTATAAATCGCTAAAATGGTCTTTTCTTTAAAGAATCTTCAACGTTTGATTCTTTCTCTCCGGGTCTGAAAGGAAACCATGGTTTCTACTTACTAACTAGAAGACCTCAAGTAATCAGGTCAAAGAAGTACAGGCCTGGTTATGGATCAGGTGGAGGTGTGAGCCGGGAAATCGCAGTAACATATTGCATTGCTCTGTGCTCTCCTTGGCGCACTCGTGCTGCTTCGTACATAGCAGTTCACTTCTTTATTACAAAGCAAACAAAGCTAGTTAGCTTTGCATTCTTGCTGCTGTTCGATGTGCAGCAGTGTGAGGATCTTAGACGCAATACAAACTGTGTGAAACAGGAAGTGAAAATGTTCCAAGGGAATCTTCCGTGTGTGCATGCTTTATAGCAAGAACCATAGTTTGTAGCAATGTTGTAGGATTAACTCAAGACCTCTTTGTGTTTGGGCTTCATATGACTTCATTGTAGGATCCTCTTAAAGAGGTGTCTCAGGGTAACCTTAGGTTGCTTATAATTAAAAGCTTAACACCTGAGAGATTGTTTTGATGAATCTTTTTGGAGCAATTAATTATACTAAATAGAGTTGCGCCATAGGCGAAAGATAAACAATAATGTAAAGGGTCACAGAAAGACTAGACACTAGAGAGTCTAAAAAATTTTATCACTCTGTACTTAATTTAGTCTGACATACTCAGTACATTAGACATCAACATGTTCTTCACAAAAAGGTGAAATGATGGAGAACAGCTAGTCTGTTAATTATCTTCATCACACATCAGATCATTTGCAGCTAAAGAGCCACTGACGTCAAGCTATGGAAGTGGCAGGCGTGCCGTCTTAGTGTTCATTACGGGATGAATACTTTCTGAAAGTATAACTCATCATGGAGCTTCAGGGCTTCGTAATCAGATTCAGATTGGAGTGATCCCAGTTACTCGCAAATAGTTCCATTTTAGCCGTAGTTGGTTCCTTGATTCCAAATCATACTCCTGTTTAAAGTACAGGATACGTTAAGTCTTGGTCTGAAGAATTTGTCCTCACTTACGTTCTCCAGCCGGTTGACTCTGATCTGCTGTTTTTTTAACCTGTCAAATGTTCTGCTTTCAGGTTCTTGTCAACATTGGCAACTATTTCACCTTGGATTCAGTGTTCTTGTCACCCCGCAAAGGGATCTACAGTTTTAACTTTCATGTCATCAAAGTCTATCAGAGTCAGACCATACAGGTAGGTTGTTGGGGTATCCAGAACAGAAATACAGCAGTCAAATAGTCAGAACTTTAAAATATAGTTGGTACTTTAACAATATGTACTGTATGGCAGATAAAAGATTTTTGTTCAATCAAAACTTTTTGCGTTGTCAGGAAAATAAGGGTAAAATGTTTGTTTGCAGAGATATCTAATGAAATGTGTATCACGCATCAGAATTATACAAACGTTTCATTTTGGCTATTTAAGTTGGTACACATTTGACATTTGAGCTGGTGCAATCAAAGCAATATCAGACTGCAGTGTTCTCTCACTGTAAGTATTTATAACTGCAGATAATACCATATTAGTTAAATTAGTGAAGTAACACTAGATGAATTCATTATAGAATCGAGTCAAACAGTAATAACATAATAATTTAGCAAAGGAAAACTAGTTTTCTCTAGTTTTACATGACTGATTTATAAGCAGAGAGAAAAACTGAGGATATATTTACCACAATTCACTTCAGTCATTATTGTAGGATGTCTTTTTAGGAAACTATGTAGTTATTACTGCTTACCCATGTGATTAAGGGGACCTGGCCCACTGTTGAATGGGGTTAGTTGTTGATAGACTTTTATTAAACCTCATTAACTAAACTCAGCTATATTGGACTCCATGTTTGCTAGCTTAAGACTTTCTAACAACAATTCTTGCACTTATGAAACATGTCAGACTTAAAATACACCAATTAATGAGTAAATAGATAGCAGTTTTGCTTCAACAGTTGGCTCCGGTCCCTCCTACTTCATTTTAACTTGCTGGCCCTTGTTCATTGGCCTGTCTCCATTTTCCAGGTGAACCTCATGCTGAACGGGAAGCCAGTCATCTCTGCCTTTGCGGGCGATAAAGACGTGACGCGTGAAGCTGCCACCAATGGCGTCCTTCTGTACCTGGATAAAGAGGACAAGGTGTATCTAAAGCTGGAGAAAGGGAACCTGGTGGGTGGCTGGCAATATTCCACCTTCTCCGGATTCCTCGTATTCCCTCTGTAAGAAAAAGAAAACAATAAATGCATATAAATAAAGAAAATACATAACGAGAGTGAGCTAAACGGGGGAGCAGCTCAGAAACAAAACTGACTCAACAACAGTTATGTTGTCGTCGTCTCATAACCGAAATTCATTACCGCTTCAGTCGGAGTCGTCCAAATGGATGGTTTCAGTGTTTATTTTTCCAAGCTTACAGTCACTTCAGATATGCAGAATGTGGAAGGGACATGGTTTGCGAAATGAGCGTGAAAACATCCCGAAGCCTGAAAGGACAGTATTATCCTCCCTAACTTGTTACTCAATGTAGAGAAGAAAGATGTTCTCCTCCAATGTGTCCATCATACCCAATCTGATAAAGTTTTTATTTTTGTCATCACGTTTATTTTTTTTGCGCCTATGTGCATTTACTTAATTGGTATGTGAGGCACATCATGGTAATATGTTTCGAGATTCATTATCCGTCGTTCTCTCCATCTTTATGTGCTATTTATTTTGAGTGTGGCATTGTGCGGGAACTGTCATTGTCAAACGACGGCATTCCATCACACGCATACAGGGTGGGCGAGACTTGCAGGGCAAGGGCTGACTGAAAAGAAGCGCGGGGCTGGGAGATGGAATACGTGAGTCCGTGCAATTGGAGGCGCCCTTGATGAAATGTGAATTAAAATTCAAGGACTGCCTCAGTAATATCTGTTGGTGTAACTTTCTCTCTGATCTCTGCACTGTTTTACTCATTTGTAGGTGCCAATATAGATATATTGTTTAATGTGTGATGGAATGCAGGAATGCTTATTATTACATAAACTCTCAAATACGGGGGTGTGTGTCTGTGTGTGTGTGTGCGTGTTTTTTTTTTTGTATTTTAAGTATGCATATCTGAGTTTTATCATAATAGGCTGATTTTATTGAACATTTGCTTTCAATTCTCATGAGTGCCCTCTAGCTTTAAACATGCTTTGAATCCATTCCTTAATTTCATTGCCTCTTTTGTGTGTGTGTGTGTGTGTGTGTGAATGAGTGTATGTATGTAGGAGGGAACGCAATAGCCTTCACTGGCAAGCGAATAATCTGTGGAGTCATTTAAACAGCAGATTTGTCTATGATAATTGCTGGATTGCAACAATCATGTTCTTGAGTGCTTTAATATAATTATCATTGGTCTTGGGGCATTGCTTTTGTTGTTGGATTTTAGATTTTTATATAGATTAAAAATGTCGACGCAAAGGAATGAATCCAGATGACATTTGGTATTTGAAAAGCCGACTCGTCTGTGCGATCCACTGGGTGTTTGCTCTTTAAAAAAATGTCTTGGAGTTGTATCATTGTATACACTTCTTTGTTTTGAAAAACGACCCTGGCAAGCATTGACATAATTGCAGGGGGAATTGGGTGCACTATACATCCCCTGCTTGCGTTTTTTTAATCTCAGTGCCAGCTCTAGTGCATTTGTTGATCCCTACATCTGTTTTTAAATTGTTTTTTTTTTCCGTGTCTCTGCTGGCAAGTACTGCCTTCATGGATGAAAAGCGAAATAGTGAAAGTGAATTATGAGCATTTTATTTGTTTCTGAAAGCCCTTAAAAGCCTCCCATTCAGATTTCAGCGTGGCACACAAAAGGTACAAACCTCTCAGTGGCTTGAACACTTTATTCAATTGCGTGTAAGTTGCCCTACTGTGTGGCAAGCTGTCCAGCAGGTGTCATGCAGTGACATCCTCACTGGATAATATCGTCACTGGATAATATAACTGGATAAGTGGAAGATTGTTTTGATTTATTAAGAATCTGCATATTAGAATGGCTAAGCATTGCTGGCATGAGATTGGAATACAGGCACAATGATAAAAGATATCAATTCTATATTAATGTAATAGGCAAATGCATATTTAAGACCCTTTAACTGTTAATTGAGGGAATATCGGTAATGGGGTACCTGGGAGATGAGACTTTGCATTTCTATAGCTGTTAAAAATCACTATTTCTCATATTTCTTGACGAGGGCGGGCGTCTTCACAGCCAGTGATGTGAGGTCACAAGTTTAACACATGGTATGATACCAAGAATATGGTTTTTTAACCACTTGTTGTGGTGCCAGTCTCCTGTCACTATTCATTTTAATATCACATCTTTTTTTAATCATATGTCAAATATGTGTCATTTAATAAATTGGTCAAATGTCTGTCGATGAACTGCACACAAAACGTGAACAATGATCCTTTAAAACAATATGTAATCCCTCATTTTGGCGATAGTCTGTGGAAGTCTGTTGGTGAAAGCTTTGCTCACTTATTTTGCACTGTAATATTGGGGGACACGTTCATCATCTCACAGAATATTATTGACTTTTCTCCATGTTTTTGGGGTCTCACAACTTACACACACATTTACATGAATTGAGTTAGTGAAGCTTCTTGAAGTGTTCTTTAATCAAGACGAAAGGACAGTATTATCCTCAGTTTTAAATTTAGCATAAGCCCAAAAGTCTGAGTGCAGCATAATTAAGAACCTAGGAATGGTTTTGTCTTGGTTCCACATTATCTTTAGCTACTCAGAAAATCACCACTGTTACCTATTGAAAGGATGACAAAATTTACCTCCATTAGTCATTTCATTTTATTTTGGTTTTGCAATCATGTTTCCTGAAGTTGTATCTTCATGTACAGTGCAACTCATCCAGTGAACAGTGTGATCATTAGATATGTGAAAGTGGCTTTCATGTCCAACTGTATGATGAGAGATCTCATTGTATATTCAATAAAGATGCAAGGCATTAAGCATCTGAAGAAAGAAAACCTGAAACTAAGTCTTGAGCACAATGATGTAGATATAGTAACTTAGATGTTTGTTATTGACCAGGCTGGATCCCATTCATCGCTGACCCCAAATGGTGCCAATATGGTGGAGTCTGTTTGCTGCCATATAGTAAAAGTAAATCCCAAGAAATTAAAATGGTCCTGAATGCTGACATTTTTTATTAGGGCTGTAAATGAAAAAGAAACTATTTGACTGTATGGCATATTTTCCCTTTTAATTCTATTTAAATATATGATGGGATTAAAGACATATTTAAAGTTTCATGGCATCTTATTTATCACAGTTGCACTTTTTGTAGAATGGTCCAAGGAGTTGATTTCATGGATCTCGTCCAACTTCACAGCTTCACTGACAAGCTTGATTACAGTTTTTCTCAATTGCTTTTACATATTTCATGAACCATACTTAACATTCTCACAACTATAAGAGCATTTCTCAAAATGCATACAGCACAACAGTATGATTAAGCTGCAAATTCACTGAAAGCAATTAACATTTCTCAAAAGCAAATGATTCTATCAATGAATTAGTCCATGGCTCTAAAATGAATAGCGCCTTCATTACCATTTCAACCATAAGAGTCAAGATTCTTAACTATATTGTCAAAATGTCACTCTAAGATTGACCCTGAGCCCCCAAATTCTGAATGACAGTCATTCTCCACTTTCTCACTGACATTAATCATTTTTCTTTAGCAAACTGATTGCTATTCATGTCAAAGACACCAGTTTCAACACTACATGGTTCTAAATTACAGTATGTAAACTTCAGTGTCAAGAAAAAGCACTCGCATGCACTTGTAACTTCCTTTTATCTTCGCTGAAATGGTCTCACAACACAGTACATTAGCAAACAAAAAAGTCACACTGCACTGCATAAAACAGCTATATCCTCCTGAGACCCAAGGAAAAAAGTGTCCTTCAATTTTAGGATATTTGCCTTTGGAGGAAATAAGACATCTTACAATTTATTTTTATTTTTAATTTGACAGCATGTCCTCTTTAGTGTACAACAGGAATAAATATGTTTCCTTACATCAGTGAAAAGATAGATGCAAAAACAAAATGTCCATTACAATGGACATAAATGAATGGGTGGGGTCTCAGGAGGATATCACAACCAACTGAATCATTCAGAAAGTTTGGGGAACTGCTTTGCACGTGTTGTCCTACACAATGAGCATGTACCTATGTCGTTATTACTGTAAAATTATTTCACTGGGAAACTACATAATGCGCTCTGACCGGCAAAACTTAAGCAACTGATAATTAGGCCGAATAAGGATAATTGTGCTTCACCATTTACCTACATGGCCTGAAACATTTGCAATTTGTGTGAAACAATGAGAAATTATGTTCTGCTTGGTACAACTGACTTCACGGTGTGGGGATTACACTCATTTTGCAAATGCTAATTGCCCTTTGAGAAATATGCCAAAGCAGTGTAGAAAAATTGTAAAAGTTGAACATTTTTTGACCGTCATTTGTTTGTTTGTTTTCCCCTGGATTCAGTTTTAAGGGTGTAACTATTTTGCTGCATTTGGGACATACATTTAGTAGGAAATTCACACATGAGCAAATGAACTAATTAAGTAATTTATGATGAAGATTGCAGCAAAAAACTGTATGTAAACAACCCACCAGGGTTTGATAAGCAGATAAGTTCCTTCCCGGAGCTGCTGTCCTTTATGTTGTCGATCTGGGGTTATGAACTGACACTGATTCTGAATGGATCTTTGTTTACTCTAACTTAATTGCTATATTAGAAACATTCTTTGAACAGTGGGTTACCTCATGTGCTATTTTAAGTGTGAAACAAACACTACTTTAAATTGACTTACTTATACCTGCAGGTTTCTGGACCTCAACGACCTTCACTAGGCAACCTGATGTTTACTTAGAAAGTCTTCTGTTCTGAGGTAAACGTAATTTCCTGCCATAATGATTGTATACTTTAAGGAGCAATGCTAGGTTCCACTTGATGAATGCTGTTAATGACTAAGCAAAATCAGAGGCCAAAAAAGTTTGTTTCATGTCATATTCAAAACTCCTCATTTTAACTGGCGTCTATCTTTCACCAAAATTGTAATAATCTGACATTTTAAAGGCAGACTGGACCTATAATGGCCGTGTCCTACTTCCATCGTTCATTCATCTACCTCGTTAAAGCCGTGCTCTTTCCCAACTAGTGCTTGTTTTTTCCTGTGAAATTACAGCTGTGAATTTTCACGTGAAGGACATACACTGCACTAAACAAGGAACCTGCAGTGTCACTTCCACTTGCCATTAATATAAAACAGAATGCAACAGGATGTTACACTTTTAGGTGACAGTTTATAATATATATATGTATTTATTACAGCTGTTGAATTTTGAATGGGATTCGTCTGGCTTTGACTCAAAGCCGGCAGAAATGAGGTATGTAAACTGTGAAATTCATACTGGGAGGCAACAGGATCAGATATGAGCGAGTATGAACCGTTACGCCCAGGGACACCAGAAGGTGTTTTCAAAATATTAAACTGCTGTTATCTTTAACAGGGATAAATGCCTCTTGTAAGCAAATCACATATGGATTAAAGCTGTGTGACTGATTTTCCTTTGTTTTCGTATTCTTTTATTTTGGATTTCAAAGGCATGGTTAATTTTCAGTGCCAGTAGGTGTGAACATCAACTGAATAAACTTGCTCATTGTTAATTAGAGCAGCATAGAGAATAGTCTTTTTTTTTTTAGTTGAAGTGCAATAGCACAGATGGGTGAGCCAAAACTGGAAAACGTAAAACGTGAACAGCGTAAAGGATCATGGACCAGAAAGTCTGGAGCTTGCAGGCCTCAAACGTCGAAACGTATCTTTTTTGGGTGACATCCACAAGTCCAAAGCTTACTGGCTTCAGGTGTGCAGGGCCTGAGTTTAACAATCAAACCTTTTAACACCTTCACAGCTGTTCTCCAGAGATGCAAAGATGCACATTAAATGATAAAATGGGACTATTTTATCATAAGTGACCATAGGGGGAAAAAACAATTGCAGTGATTTTATTAATTAGAATAATTACACATAACCATGTGACCAGGAGCAATGCTAGAGATTTTGGGCCCCATGAAAGAATATCATATTGGGCCTCCAACCCAGACTAATCCAATTATGTAAAAAAAATTAATTTTGGGCATGTAATTGACCTATCCAACCCCCCACTCCCCCCCCTTACTCCACCCCCTGCATGTCACACAGGGCCATGAATATATATGTTTTTAATTGTAATGCTATTGCATTTTTGTCCACACTTATTACAAATCAATCTAAAAACTAATTAAAAACAATCCAATTCACTTAGCCTACTGTACACAGTCAAACTAATTTTTAACAGCTAAATTCATTATGCTGGTGCAGACACGCTCAAACTTAGAAGTGCATTGGGCTCCAGAATCCACGGCATGTGGACAGCAGGTTTCACTTAGAAATAACATAGGGTACCAAGTCAGGCCAAAGCGTTTGGAGTGACACCAAAGAAATCAGGGCCAGACTAGAGCACATTTTAAATTGGTGGTCACTGACGGAAAATAGAATACTAATGATTCTTGATAATGAGGTCATTGACAGCTCACCTACATTGCACTGGAAAGCGGTGTAAGAAGGGGACATTCTGAAACAAGACTATTAGCTTCATTAGGACTGTGTAACTGAGATAATTACATGTGTTCTTTGCAAAAGCTGGCATACTAATCTCCTATTAGCATGGCTTGACCATGAATATTTATGTTGGGTTCTCCTGCTGAAAAAAAAAAACACATGTAGCATTACAAAGGACCATTACGATTAATATGTCGGAGAATATAATACAAGCAGGAGCTCACTTGAGAGTTGGAGACGTTGGCGTTTAGGTGATGTCCAGGAAGGTCTTTTGCTTTGGTTTTCACTGCTTTGTTAAATATACACGCAAACATATCACCAGTTAAATGGGCATAAACAAGCCACTAAATAAATGCCACTGATATGCCGTGAAACTTCTGAATAATACAATCCTGATTATAGTAGTTAAGCACTGAAATCACACTGAGCAATTGTAATGGAAAACTACTACACAGCTGTGTACTTAAAAGTTATTGGTGTGTTAGAAGGGAGTATGTCAGTATCCGGAGAGGGAAAAGACAGAAATCTTGCAATAGAAGATAAAAAAATGCCTGGAGATGTTCTAGATAGATGCAAGGCAGTGCAAAATTTATGCATTAAAGTCGCAGGGGTTCTGGAGTTCTGATTAATTAAAACCATATAATAGTATTTTGTGCACATGAAAATAACCTTACATCAGGACTGTGAGTTCTGTTTAGTCACTCTGCCTGCAATTGTGGCTTCCATCATCAGCAGGAATAGCTTGGGCACCCTGAACACAGGGTTGATCCACTGCCCTTCTACGCACCGGGCATATGGAACTGGAGAGAAATCCTCATTTCTGCAATTTTGGAGTTTACCTTCCCTCTCATTCAGGCTGCATAGCTGTCAGAGTTTAAATCATTTTAGATCCATGTTCTTCAGAGAAAATAAAACTATTTCATGCATTAGCTTAGTACTGGCTCAAAGAAGGGATCAAAGCAATTTTTTTCCAAGTCTTAACCTCAGGTGAGCCTGACGACAAGCTTGACTTTTTTTTTTGAGACTTTTATTTGAATTCAGACATTCGGTACAACACTGTGTCAAATTGGAGCAGATATGAAGAGTCGACTCATCTTCGCTGTAAGGAACAAGTTCCAGTGTTTGCAAAATGTTTTGTTCCTGCTTTGATTCTGATTTAGTTCAAAATAGTATGAACTGTTTCTGCATGACAATACACTTTATATAAAGGAAAGTGTTACATCACATATCTAGCTGGGTCTGCTCCTGTCAGTGTAGGATATTATTTGCAGAAGGCTGCCCTTGGCCATAGAAGAATTTCTTTTTTTTAAATTTTGAGGTAAATGACATCATGCATTTATAATAATTATTATGTAATACTGGGATTGGTTGGCGACCCAGCCTCCATTATTCCCAGCCTTGAGTCTTTAGCTTCCAGGATAGGCTCCAGACCCCTGACACCCTGCATAGGGCATAAAGGTCGAAGATGAATGGATGGATGGATGGGTGGATGGATGGATGGAAAATTATAAATTTCAGAATGTGCCACTGTTTACACATGATCTAAATAATGAAAACAATATAGGTATGTTTCTATATACTTGTTTTATATTTTGTAATTGCTGAGTTGTGATTTTAG